CAAGGGTACTGCAGTGCCATCCGCCCCAAAGGTTGGGAGGGAAGGCAGGAATGAATGTCTATATGCATCCAGGTTCGGTTCACAAAAGCCTGGCCCTGCGAAAAAATGAACCACTCACCTTGAGCATGGTCCTGGCGCAAGGATATGCACAAAACAGGGTGATGCACAGCAGGGTATAGACCTCTACATTCTCTCATGCCTCGGCCTACAAGGTAGGCCCACTCCTAGGTGTCTAACAGCAACAAGGTCATAGACACCTTGGAGGGACCCACAGACCATCCTATTTTAATAAATAAAAAAGGGGGAGATGTGGGAAGCCGCCTATGATGGCGCCCATTTCCTGCTTCCGGGTTCTTCCCGGCCTGAACAAGCCCGCCAAATTGTCAGGTCTGCCCAGTTACCCGTGACACTAGCCTATCAGCTTGTTAGGTGCGCTTCTCTGTGATTGGATACTGCTTCCCCTTATAAGAGGTTGTTCCTGCCCCCAACGGGCGGAAGAGGAATCAACACCGAGGGTGGCGGACCTTGTCAGGTCCGGTTCGCTGTACGTAATAAAGTTTGAGAGCTGATCCTGCTCGAGTTTGGTCTCCTGTCTCCCGCGGCTCCGGTCACCCCAACACAACGTGCCCTGGTTATATGCACAAGAGCACTTACCATCCCACAATTCTTTTATTTGTTTTCTCGCTCACTAAACAATGAATGCTTTTGACGGCAGGACAATGTCTGTCTGTGTCTGTGTTCACTCTCTAGCAACAGACATGGGCATGGTACCTGCTAGGTGCTCAGTAAGTATTTGTTCAATAAAAATAGGTAAAATGTGCAAGCCAGGTACTAGTCACTTTCATGTCTTCCTTGTTGTCTTATAGAAAGACTTGATACTTTATTGTTTTCCCAAAAGCTAATCAATTCTGAAAAGCAGGGGTGTAGGTTTGACGGGAGACTTCACAAAGCGATAGAGAAGAGGGTTTCAATGCGCATGCTTCCATTTACCTCCCACTGAAGCCTTGTCTTTCTTCACAAGATAGTAAATTCTTGGATCAAGGCTTTTGTCCCACGTATCCTCATCTGGACTGGACTCAGGGCCCTTTGTCTGCTCATGACTTTGAGTGTCTTTATTCCTGCTGTGGCTTTCACTGGAGGTGGTAGACTGGAATTAACTCACCGGGACTCTAATAACATTTCAATGGGATTACAAGTATAAAATTTCTCAAGCTGTGAGGAGAACAAGAAACGGATTACAGTGTTTGGATTACAGAAGTTAGGAAGGAAGGAAAGGAGGGAGGGAGGGAGGGAGGGAGGAAAGGAGGGAGGGAGGAAGGGGAGGTTTGGAGGAAATGAGGAGTAAGGAGTAGGGGGACATGGCAGTATAATTCCAGCACTGTGAGAATGATGCAGGGTTAGGGGACCAGGATTGCCACGAACAGAACAAACAGAAATTTCAGTGACCTTGATAAAAATAACACCAGAATCTTTGGGCAAGGTGACACATGCCTGTAACCCCAGCTAATCAGGAAGCTAAAGTAGAAATCTCACAAGTTCAAAGTCAGCTTGAGCAATTTATGGAGATTCTGCCTCAAAATATAACACTAATGATACTTTTTAATTAGAACTAAAGGTGTGACTCCACCGTGGATCACTTGCCTAACATGCACAAACCCGTGTGTTCAATCCCCAGTAGTGAGAAGACAAAAAACATCTTCAGGGCTCTTTCTCCATCAAGTGAAAAGGGAATGCCCCTTTAAATAATTAACTAAGCTGGCTCTCCGTTCTGGGCAGGCTCTCCCAGGCCTGGCTGATGTGCTCTGCTAAGGTTTGACAAGTTTTTGTGACCCTTCCTGGGCGGCGAGGCCGCAGCACCCTCCCTGCCTGGACACGAGGGACCAGGTCTCCTCCTCCAGCCTGGGCAGGCCCGGTCTGTGCCAGCATCGCGTGTGGCTCCCTAATTACCGCATTCCAGAAAGTGCCTGCAGCTCCAGCGCCCTGCTGTGACCCTCCCTGTCTGTCTTCTTACCAATCCAGGGCAGCCAGGGGCTAAATCTCTGGTCGCTTCCTTCTGGACCACACCCAGAATGTATCATACCATTTGGGAATTCCTTGTTCAAATCCCCCAAGGCTCCTTCCAGGGCTGCCTAGACTTCTGCCCAGAGCAGGGGGCTGCCAGTGTGTGCCGTCAGCTCCAGGGGTGACCAAGGGGAGCCAGTGTGTACGGGGGCTGCCAGGACAAGAGCGCCCACTCAGTCAGCAGGGGACAGGAAGAGAAGGAGAAACTTAAGGAGTGGGTTCCCACACACCTCCAGGTCCTGGTGCAGAACTCTAAGGAGGCCAAGATTTGTTCATTCAAACCTAGCCTTCCGGTTTGTAGGAAGACAATTATCAGACCAGGAGGACAGAACATATTTAACAAATTGATTCACAACTTTTTGTAGACAGACACCTGAACACGGACCTACCTTTGTATTCATGGCCTTTAACCTCACAAATGCTAGGGAGAAGCCCAGCTTCTAACTAATAGTCCATCAAAATTATCTTCATAGCTTGTAATCTCAGGACTCAGGAGGCTGAGGCAGGAGGATCACTGGGAATTCAAAGCCAGCCTGGAGTACATAGTGAGTTCAAATCTAACCTGAATTCCATAGTGAGATGGTGTCTCAAAAAAAGAAAAAAAATCCTAAAGTTCACTTGACATTACAGGTCCAAAATATATCCCAAGGTAGTAAAAACCAAAAATTGTTTAAAAACCCAATTTGTATTTCTAAAACTACTACTTACATTTGGTAGTCTAAAAGCTTTCCTCTGTTTTTGATATCACTTGGTATTAGTTAATAGAATATATTTTCCTGTTTTACCAATGTAAATATCTAAGATACAATTTTTTTTTTTGTACCAGGGATTGAACTCACGACCTCATATTTGCCAAGTGGACATTACGCTTCAAGCTAAACCCCTGGCTCAAGATTCAATTTTTTTAAAAACATGTTTTTATTTTCTGTGACATTCAAGATTCATATGAACCTTGAGTACAAGCCCCACAGCCGAACAAACATCAGAACATACCTCTTTCCCATCTTGAGGACCATTTATAACATTTTTCCCATAACTTCCTGATGCTCACTGATGCAATCTAATCAGTGCCGTGTTTGGGGGCTGGCTTGTAGATTCATGGAGTAGATCTTCCACCTCCACTGTTAGAGCTGAAGGAGTACAATTAGGTGAAACTAAAGATGCTTTTGTGACATTATCCCATTGCTCCTCAAACTTGGTGTCACTAACCTAGGTTAGAGTAGGAGAGGCGGCGCGAATATAGCTCAGCAGTGCAGCGCCTGCCTGGCAAGCATGAAGTCCTGAGTTTGAATCCCGGGGCAAAAAAAATGGGAGGGCCCCTTGAATCACCTCACAGCCCCCTCCCCGCCCCGCCCCTCTACATCTAAATCTCAAAATGGAGGAGATCCTTGTGGGAACACTAAACCAGGATCCTTCAGCAGAATCTGCCAACAGCTCTTCTTTATCTGGGTGACAGCCAATTGAGAAGAAGGAGGCTCAGGTTCTAAAGAATGAAAAAACACTTACCTGAGCTTGAGAAGACCAAAGTTCTTGCCTCAAAGCTATAATTGGTTGAGTGACACAAGGCAAGGACGTCTTACTTTTGTGTCCATAGCTTTTATTGCTGTAAAAGGTGAGTGGGGAGAGGAGAGAGACAACTTATTTAACTTACTGTTTTCCAAACTTGCTAAACCTTAGTCTTCTACAACATGGGCAGAGGAAATGTTAGGCTCGACCAGATCCTAACATTTAAATGTGAGGCTCTTAAAAAGGCCCGGGGCACGCACTTTGCTAAGGATCAGCAGCTAAGCATTCTACAGTGCCTAGCACAGCCCCCTGCAGCCAACATAATCCAACCTTAAACGGCATTAACTCCAAGGGGCCGAGACACTCTGGACTAGGAGAGGTATTTCTAAAGCCTTGTTCAACACTAAAATTTGAATGAAGTGTGTATGTGTGTGTTTTGGTTTCATTTGGGGATTTTTGGGGGGGGGTTCTTTAAACACTGGAGATTTTATCTCTCATTTATTTAGAATCGTTAATGAGTCCTAGATGCCTCTCCAGACCAGTTTCCTTCCTTATGTTGATAGTATTTCTGCGTTTTGACTTTAAGGCAGCTTCCTATCTGTAATTGCCTTGGCAAAGAAAAGGAAAGCATCGAGAATTAGGTGCTGGATCTTAAATGCTTCTACGTGGATATGACATGTCTCGTCTGCTTTCTAAAAAAAAAAAAAAAAAAAAAAAAAAAAAATATATATATATATATATATATACACACACACACACACACACATATATTTCATGTACCATTGAATTTATCCAAAGTATAAAATTCAGTCGCTTTTAGAATATTTACAGATATATATAATCATCATATTGAATCCATTTTAGAGAATTTTCATTGCACCCAAAAGAAACTCTATACCCACTGACAACATCCTCTCCCAAAGTTAACCCAATGCCCTACCATATCACCAGGCAACCACTAATCTAGCTTCCATCTATATGTATTTGCCTACTTTCTGGACATTACAAGTAAATGAAATCATACAATGTGTGATGCTTCTTTCACTTGGCATAATGTTTTCAAGGTCCTTATTGTAGCAAGAATCTATATTTCCTTTTTATTGCTAAATAATATGCCGTTATATGGAAATAATATATTTTACTTCTTTGTTAATCAGTTGACAGACATTTGGGCGATTTTTATTTTTTAGATGTCTGAATAATATTTCTGTGAACATTTACATAGAGTTTTATTTTGTTTTCTTTGTTTTGTTGAGTCAGGGTCTTACCACGCAGTTCAAGCTGGCTTTGAATTCACCAAATAGCCCAGACTAGCCTCAAACTCACAGCAACCCTCCTGTCTCAGCCCCTCAAGAGCCAGGATTGTAGGCATGCACCACCAGGCCTGGCCTTACACAGACTCTCTCTCTGTGTGGATGTGTTTTTACTTCTCCGCATTATATACCAGAGAGGAGTGGCTGGTGCATCCAGTAGCATCATTGCAATCCTCACAAGGCACCGGACTGTTTTTCATAGCACTGCACCAGTTTTCATTCCCATCAGCACCGTGTGATCGTTTCAATGTCTCCACACCCTGGCCAACACGTTAGCACCGGTCTGCTTGAATCTGACCTTCCTAGCACAGTATGTAAGAAGTGGTTTCTCACTGTGGTTTGGATTTGCATTTTCCTGAAGATTAATCATTGTAAGCATTTATGTCCCTGTACCTACGGGCCTGCAGCATTGCCAACCAAAATTTCAGTAAGAAGGTACTCAAAACCAAAAAGAAAAGGTAGTTTTATGGGGGGGGAGGGGGGTCCCAAGACAGAGTCTCAGATTTGGGCCCAAAATGAAAGCGTGCTCCAAGGAACAAAGACAGGGACTGCCTTCCCGGAGGGGTTCCCGCAGGGCCGCGCGACTCCGCCCTCCCGGGAGCACAACGGTGACGCCAGCGGGCGGGAGGCCCCAGGCCTGGGGAGCCGATTGCCGATCCCCGCTCTTCGGTCAGGTCGTCAGGTCCGGAGCGGAGCAGGACTTTCCTAAGGCTGTTTATTTGGCAGCCGAAACACGAACATGCCCGGACAAGTGCCTCAGAGTTTAGTTTGGGGATATTCCAGAAACAGTATGTTTCACTCCCCCATCAGCAAATGGACAACAGGCTCCATTCTGAATTTAAGCTTTTTGGAGATTTGGCTTTTTAAAAAGTTCACCATGTGTCTTATTTATGCAAATATCTATTCAGATCCTCTGCCTTTTTTTTTTTTTTTTTTTTTTTTTTTGGTGCTGGGGATTGAACTCAGGATCTCATGCTTGCCAGGCAGGCGCTTATGCCACTAAGCCAAATGCCTGGCCCCCTTTGCCCATTTTTAAATTGGGCTGACCTTTCATTAGTTAGTAGTAAGAGTTCTTTATGTATGCTGGATAAAAATTCCATATCAAATGTATGATTTGAGTTGGGCATGGTGGGCACATGCCTGTAATCTCTCCCCTTGGGAGGCTGAGACGGGAGGATCCTCACAAGTTTGAGGCCAGTCTGGGCTACCTAAGGAAGTTCAAGGCCAGCCTGAACTACAAAGTGAGATCTTGATTCAAACAAAACAAAATGAACTCCAAATCTAAATACATGATTCGCAAATATTTTCTCCCTTTCTACAGGTTTCTTGCTGCTGTCCTTTGAAACGTAAATTTTATTGATGAAGTCAACTTTATGCTTTTGTTTCTTGTGCTCTGGGTGTTCTAAGAAATCATTGCCTGACCCAAGTTGATAAGGATTTATCCTATTTTCTTCTATATGGTTATCACTTGAGCTGTTGCATTCAGGGTTTTGATTCACTTTGTGTTAGTGTTTGTATTTGGTGTTAAGTGAAGGTCTAAACTCATTCTTTGGCATGTAATATCCAGTTGATTCAGACTCATTTGTTGAAAAGACTAATCTTTACTCACTGAGTTATTTTGGCACCCTGGTTAATTAGTAGTCAGTTTGCTATAGGCAGCTGAGTTGGATAGAAGTATTATAGGCAGTCAGATAGGGCTAGGCCCTCGAACCCTGAGAGAAAGATGGGACCTTAGGGTCCCAAGGGTCACCAGCACCCTGAACAGCAGTGTGACTTCATTTGTAAGAAGGGTAAGGAAAGCCGTTTCAGTCATTTACATTCCTGGCATACAACCTAAACTGCTTAAAGCAGTGTAGAAGACTAGATAGATACCTTGCAACCTTGGAGAAGACAGATACCTCTGCTGCAGGCCAGATCTCTCAAGCTGACCATCAGAACTAGATGTGAGAGTGTATAAATATTTTTTAAAAGCACTTCTATGATTTCTATTCTAAGGAGTAAGTTAGGCCTGAGGGCAGTATACAACTCAGTGGTAAAGCACTTGTGTAACAAGCACAGGGCCCAGAGCTCTATTACCAGCCCTAAAACAACAACAACGACCAAAAAAAAAAAAAAAAAAACAAAACGAATAAGTTTAAAACAAAAAAAAGGAATAAGTTATAGATTCTCAGGTAATTATGATCCTTTTAAGTCAAAAAGTGCAGTATAGAAGCTGCGTTAGTGATTCTTTCCCAGGAGCAGTGTACTGTACCCTATTTGCACCTGAAAATATTCTTTCCTTTCAGAAGTGTTGTATAAGGGAAACAGAAACATAACCTGGGATCTGAAGGCAGTTTCCTAATTTCTGAAATATTCAGATTTCTCCTTTTTGCGTCCAATACTCCTGTTTTCTTGTGCTGTAAGCGTCCTTTTTTTGTACACACGCAGGCACTAGGGATGAAACTAGGCTCGAAGTCTGCACGCTACCTCTCAGGCTAAACCTCTTAGCCCCACTATTAACTTTTTATAAAATTCTTGGGAATCACCATCTCTCTAGTTTTGGGGCCCAAAATGTATTTCTTGGCTGAAATATCTATTTACTGTACTTCCACTTGTGGCAAGAAGGCAAACTTAGGACTCTAATCTCACAAAGGAGGTATAAGCTGTTTCCTCAAATAAGATCAGGCGTGGAATAAAGACACATTTTTGACCCTGAGGTACTGGACTCAAACCCAGGGCTTGAGCATGTTAAGGAGCTTCATTTCCAGCCCAGATAGGAACATGTTTGGGATTGAGATGGCTTTTGTAAACCCTAGTGGATTCTAATGCTAGACCCATATTGCTACTTACTGTATTTTGTTCCGATTTGCACTGACGAATAATAGTTGTGTCCTGTCATTTGTGCCATTACCATTTATTTTGTGTTTGAGTGCTGTGAAGTTCACCTTCAAACTTATGCAGGGATTAAAGTTGGCAGTGACTTAAGGTAATTAATTCATAAGTCACTTGTTAGCAAGGTCCAGCAATTAAAGTCTACTTGAGGGTAAGTTATTAACTCTCCAATAAAAACAGCACTTTATCAATTTATTTATTCTCCCTGACAGGTGAGATAGGAGAGTTATTGACCGTATGTTATCACCTGTGTACTTTCACCAGTGAGCACTGGGGCAAATGGACATCTAAATTGTTCAAGAGCATAGTTTAAATCTAGTATAAATTGATTCTGTGAGTGGGAATGGAGAAAGGTGCCCTTAAAACTTGTTATCTTTGCAGTACTATCTCTTTACATGTTGCAAAGTCCATTTTTGGTCTGTTCAAAATCTTCAAACTTATTCATCTAAAAACCGCCTATACTAAAAGACAGCACCCCAGAAGCCCTCTCAGTATGCAAGTTTTAGGAACCTGTAGGCTGGGAAGAACCCATTTGTGACACTGTCCTTCCCTAAGGTCCAGTCTTTCCCTCAGGGGCCTAAGCCCTCTGCCGGGTGAGTCCTTCCCAGTGTAAGAGCTTGGGCCCCCAGCGTCACCAGCACCCTGAACAGCAGTGTGACTTCATTTGTAAGGAGAAGGGTAAGGAAAGGCGTTTCTGTCATTTACATTCCTGGCATACAACCTAAACTGCTTAAAGCAAATGAATCTGAGTCCTGGCCAAAAAGGAGTGGCGATCAGTCATTGCCTGAAAGCATTAGCTTATTACAACACGCCGGCACTTTCTCACGGAAGGGCGACCGAGGTAGATTCTAGGGTAATTACCTTTGTGTAATTGAAAACTAAATCACTGAAGACTTCATAATTAAATACCCATTTAAATACTTTAAATTCTACTGCACTTATTTTTAAAGGACATGCTACTACCAAATAGGCTCTTTATTTTTCTAGTGGATTAAAATCTGAATGGGTACATTAAAAACTAGCACAGCTCAAATAGATGTTCTTCTTCCAGAGATCATTAGAGGGAATTTTTCTTTTTTCTTTCATCCCACTATTGAAATAATCTGTTATTTTGGGACCTATAATAATATAGGCCCTACCTAAAAGAGATCAGGTTTCTACAAACTATATTTTAGGCAAGGCTTTTAACTGATGAAACAAGCACCCATGGTACTTTTGCCTGTGGTCCTCAAATTTTTACATGCCTGCAAATCACTGAGGGATCTCGTTAAAATGCAGAGTCTGATTTGATGAGTGTTGGAGCCTGTGACTGTGTAATACAAACAAGCTCTTTGGCAGTGCTGCTGCTGCCACCCGAGTGCCTTCTGGAGAAAGAAGAGCTTGCAGACTTGGAGGTATTTGGCCCTGACTGGGTGCCTGGCTACAAACCTGGGCTCAGGTTCCTGGTAACCAGAGACCATGCCTAAGGTCCATTCTGACTGACTGCTTCCACAATTCAGTGACTCCTCTTTGCCTATTAAGTAGATATTCTCCTGGCTTCTGAGCTTCATGGTTTAAATCTGTTATTTTAGGTAGTATTCTATATTGGGGAACCAGGTAAAAATTCTTATGGCTGACATGTTTTATTTTTCAATCCTCTACAGATCTACCTCAATCCATGGGAAATCTTGGCTAATAATAACAAGTTACTGGGTCAGGATCATCAGCTAAACTTGAGTCAGCAGCGTAGGGCTTTGGTACGATAAGCAAGTGTGAACTTGGTAGTATAACCAAAAGAAAGGAACAGCTAATCCTGCCAGGATAGAGCCTTTATACAAGTTCTTTATTCAAATATCCACAACTTGGAAGAGCGAAAGAGCATGTGAAGAACAGTGAAACGCATTGGCACCATTGTGAAGAGAAGACAAAGGATATTTCGAGAATCGTTATAGAGTAGCAGCAGAAACCAGCATGTCCCGATGTCGATGGCTTTACAATGTCAGAATAGATCTAGGTTAAAGGGTCTCATGACAATGATGATTCTAGGCAATGGCAAATTGCAACAGCAATTTCCTTTTCCAAAGATTCTTAAGATCATCCATAAGTGTACTGCTTGGTTGCCTTTTGATTGTGTTATTAGTTGACCTATCAAGATTTGAAGCAAACTCCATTCTTGGTACAGAATAGGGATCGCATGCTTACACAATTATTAGAAGGGCCAGAAAAACAGAATCTAAAAGCTGCCTGTAGGCTGTCTGATCGGGTTACACAGCCACCACCTAGCAGTCAGGAAGCTCTAGAGACCCTGCCATCGTCACTTCTCACCAGGAGAGTTGGTGAACACAGAAGTCTGATCACTGTAAATCACATTTACATTTTGGCATGTACATCAAAGGCCAAATGAAAACTACCCGGGGAAAACAGCTTCCAGATTCTATGTCGTTACAACTAGTTGGCAAAAATCTGAATTCTGTGCAGAATTCCACTAGCAGGTCAACATAAGAACTATAGCTGTTGTTAACTAGAAGTCACTTCCCTGAAGGATAACATTACAGAAGAATGTACAACTCATCGTCATAGAACTTGGTGAAAGAGAGCACACATTTATTTAGCCAGCATCTAACTCAAAAGAAAATATTAGCGTACCAGAACCATCCCAGTCTGTCATGCTCTTTTCTAAGTCTGTAATCCCAATTATCCAGGAAACAGAAGCAGGAAGATTACAAATTCCAGGCCAGCCTGGGCAATTTAGCAAAACCCTGTCTTAAGTTGAAAGTTTTAAAAGGCTGGAGGTTGAGGATGTAGCTCAGTATGAGGTCTTGGGTTCAACCAAAAAACCCTTAGTATTTTTCCTTTTTTCTTTTCTTTTTTTTTTTTTTTTTTTTTTTTTTTGGTATTGGAGATCGAATTCATGACCTACCAGGCAAGCACTTGAGCCCCTGGCTAAATCCCTGGCCGCCCCCTCTAGTATTTTCTGTCTTTTAGATTTTAGTCATTCATTTGCAAGACTAATCCGATGTGTTTAATTAAAGTTATGGTTTTAGTTCTCATTTTCCTGGCATAATGAGCACTTTTCCTATGCTTCTTGGCCATTTGAATAATGTTTTCCCTGAATGCCTGTTCCGTCTTCCCCCTGATTTTCTACTGACTTGTCTGACTTTTTCTTGGTCTTTATAGTTGTTTATCTTAGATAAGAGTCCTTTGTTAGACGTAGTGTTGAGAATATCTTTGCCACTCTGTGGCTTGTTTTTTCTTTCTTTTATGTAGTTCAGTTTATCAGATGTTTTCCCTTATGCTTCATTTATTTTGTGTATTTCTAGTTTAAGAATCTTTGCCAATTCCAAGATTATAAGAGTATTCTGTGCTTTGTTGGGAAACTGTTGCTCACATTTAGATTTACAGTTCATGTGGTATTGAGTTTTATGGATGATAAAAAACAGGAAATACAGTTTTGGGCTTTCTAATTCCTGCAATGATACGGAGTAAATATGAGGTAACTATAGAAAGTGGTAAAAATGAATGCAAAAGACCATATCTAGCCTGGTTAACTTACTGAGTTTTTATAATATAAAACAAATAGTCCCAGGAAAGGGAATTACCTCGGTGTTACAGCATTTGCTTAGCATGTCCAGGACCTGGGCTCAGTCCCCAGCATGGCAATAATGAACAAACAAACAAACAAAAAACAAACACACATCAGATGGCTCCCAAATCTAAATTTTTTTCTATTTTTCTTTTCGCAGTGCTGCAGATCAAACTCAGCCTCAGAGTGTGCTAGGCAAATGCCTTAACAAATGCCCAGGGCCCTGAACTCCTCAACTATGATCTTCTGATAAGGATGTTCCACATTCCACACTACAGAGGACAACAGCCCCTTCCAGCAGCTGCTTCGCCTCTTCTTGCTTATCCCGCCTTTTGGGATGTTACCCAGAGCACCGTGTTCTTTTTCAGAAGTTACAACAACCACCGATCTCCTTTAAAGTAAATAAGAAGAGCAAGGCTAGACTCAGTGGGAAAATGTAAATGTTAGCGTTCACTTAATGAGGAAGTGCAGGGTTGGGCTGGTGGTGTAGGTCAGTGGTAGAGTTCTTGCCTGAGATGTGCAAGGCCCTGGGTTTGATAGTCAGCTCTACAAAAGGGAAGGGAGGAAGGAAGGAAGGAAGGAAGGAAGGAAGGAAGGAAGGAAGGAAAGGGAGGGAGGGGAAGGAGGGGGGAAATGGAGGTAGGGAGTTTTAGGATATAATCAAAGAAAGTATAAGGCATTGTTTCTAAAGGATGGAGGAAAGGTTGATTTGTATAAAAGTTAAATACGCTCATCGTTCTGTCTCTCCCTGCACAACTACACCCTGTAGGATTTTTTCTTCATATAAAACAATTGATGTTTTTTCAACCTAATACAAGGAGTTACACGAAGGAGGTTTTCAAAATGGTTCCCTATCTCCCCTCCCACCAGATTTTCCCCTAAGAGCTTCCAAGACCAACAGTCCACTGTGGCACATGTGATGTAAGTTCACCACCGCTGCTCTACATATTACTCAATGGCTACTTGGATGAAAAAAATGTATCTGCAGTAAAAGTTCTCTGTCCTCTCTCATGCCTGAATCGCTGCTCTTTCCTTTATTTATTTATTTATTTACTGGCGTCAGGACTTGAATTCACAACCTCACCTTGCCAGATAGGTGCTGTGAGGCTGAGCCATATCCCCAGCCCTCCCTGCTCTTTCCTTTGATGCTTAGATACTATCCTTTAATTCCCTAATAATAGCCAAAAAGAGTTATGAAATAGGACTGTTACTATTTAACTCAATTTCTATCTCATGTTCCCATATGTCTGGGCCAGCAGGAAGTTATTTTGGGGGTTTTTCGAAGTCATATCACATAGTTTTCAGTTACTACCTAGTGACAAGGCTTCTGGGATGGCACAGGTGTCTTAGTTGGTCCTTAATCAGTTTACAGTACGGCCAAGACTTACACAGATTGTGGAGGTCACTTGGCTCCTTTCAAAACAGAACTTCCATTTTTTATACCTTCTATATCTGATCACCCTGGAATCCTGCCTATTCTTTTTTGCCACTTTGCTAATTATTGTATGTGCATTGTCTTGTTTAATCCACATGATAACTATATTATAGTGGTCATTATCATCCACGTTTTGTAATAAGGACACTGAAGTTAGGTAATGCACCCAAAGCCTGCATGTCTTTGGCTGTGGGTTGGCTATGTACTCTTTTGTGTGACCTTATTAATAATCCTTTGTTCCGCCCCTACTCTGCCTCTCATATCTTAGACAAACCTCTAATTTCATCACAATGAATTCATCTTGGCAGAAAACCATCACACCAAGGCATGCCAGTGATCTTGGTTAATCTGACTCACTTCATGAAGCAAGTATTTCTAGGCATTGGCTGTGTGTCCAACACAAGTTCCAGCGGGACAGGAGCAAAAGTATGAGAGCCCCTTCCACAGGAAACATGAAAATACATTTCAGCCAAATACAATCCCATTCTGTTGGAATTTTATTTAACTAGAATAAAACTAAGTCTTTCAGTTGCTAACCCATCTATTTGACGTTTGGGACTCAGACATTCTTCTGAGTTGGTTATCTTGCAGAAGAGGTCTAAGTCTCTTCATACGCTCAGCTGAAAGCTACCAAACCCACTGAGGATGGAATCTCAGGGAATCTGAAAACTCCATTTCAGGGTAAATGTAGTTTTCATACATTTAAGGAGGACTCTAGCACTTGATCACTAAATAGAAGGTTTTTGCAGAAACCTTTGCTCACATTTCAGTTTTGGAACCCAGTGAGAGATATTCCTTAATGAAGAACTGGGTCACATTCGTCACATCCCCGAGTCTTTAATCAGTGTAAACCTGGCCACTTTAAGGCAGAATTTCTGACATTTCGTCTATTATTTCTCTTGCAGGTTGAAGTAGATATGTTTGTCTTGACACTGGTTCTGCCTGTAGCCACACTGGGCACACAGATTTCTCCAGAGGGGGTTATTTCAGACTTTGTAACAGTGGTTTTTTGTTTTTGTTTTTATTTTTTTTTTTATAAAAATATAACTGTTTTAGTGATTTCCAGTTTCCTTTTATTTTTTACTGGTAAATTATCTGAAAATTAACCACAAATTGAGTGAAGGTAAGATAACATATTATGGAGTTCATTTTACAGAAACATTTTACCCTAGATTTTGGTGACTATAAGCTTAGTCCTAGCGAAGGGAAAGCCAAATCCCTTTTCTCTGCTTTTTGGCTAGGTCTGGTCAAACAGTTCACAATTCTGATGGAAAGGAGAATGCCAGGGCTTCATAAGAAAACGTGTAGAATTCCTAAGTCCGGAGAGTGATTGCTTCATCTGGTTGATTCGCCTTCAAGTGAAGAGCGATCTCAGCAGGGCACATTCCCTGGGCATGGCACATACAGGAAAAGGAGAATACTGACATGAAAGCTGACACCGCGCTTTGTCTGGAGCAGTGTTTAAACCTCCAGCCACCGCAGTTCTGTTAGATACGATGAGGTCATTGTACCTATTTTACAGGGTGGTTATGGAGCAACGAGATTCAGACAAGCAAGAGCACTTGGTCAACTTTACAGCTATGTTAACACTATAGACTTTTGAAAATTTGTCTTGCTGTTTCCTCTGCCTGACTAGCCATAAAGACCTATGTTACATTTTTACATCATAGCTAGATCTCAGTGGCAGTGGAATGATAGTAGCAATAAGAAGAGTGTGCTGGAAGGGTGTGGGTGTGTGTGTCCCTGTGCTGTTTTCTACATGCCCCAAAGAGGCTCATGAAAGCCAGATAATATTCAAATAGGAAGAATCACAGATCAGATGGGAAATCTACCTAGGTGTCAGAGAAGCCATAGTAATCTTACTGCCCAAGTAGCTGTCCATCCCAAGTTCATGTCATTACTTGAAGGAAAAAAAAAATATGAACATTAACCAGGCATAGAGATGCATGCCTATAATCTCTGCCCTTGGAAGGCTGAAGCAGGAAATTTTGAGCTGCAAATTTGAGCTCAGTTTGGGGTACATAGTGAATAGAGAGTTCAAGGCCAACCTGAACTACATAGGGAGACCTTGTCTCAAAAATCATATTTAAAAAACCACGACTATGGGATGGGCATATAGCTCACTTGCAGAAGGTGTGCTATGTTGGTCTCGTCTAATGTATTTGTAGTATTTGGAGCCAGAAGCCAGGGCCTTTACATGCTACAGAACCACTCTATCACTGAGCTTCCCCCTTAGGATTCCCAAGCACCATCGCCACAAAAATACCCAACTCTTACATAATAACTTTTTTCATTGCCAGTATTTTTGTTTCAAATACTTAGAGATTTTACTTTTGGAAATCAATTAAGATTCAATTAGCTCTTATGCACTAAAGACAACTTTGTCATATGTGACACAGTGAATCGCAATCTGGAAATAATGATGATCTGGAAGAGATGACCCTTTCCAATTGCATTCCAATAGATCCTTAGGGCTAAATTCTGCCTCTTTAAAAAAAAAAAGGCAGAGATGTGTATGGGCTCAGGAATGATGGAGAAAGGAAGCTGAGAATGACTCACTGGGATATTTAGAAAGAGGATTAAACTTCCTCCCCCACAAGCCTGATGCTGGGGAACTCCCACTCTGGAAAATGAAACAGGTCTTGACATAAAAGCAGTTTATAGTGCCCCAACCTAAAAAAGAAGCTAGATTCATTGTTAGCTTTTAGATTACACAGTTAAAATGTAAGAACAGGCATGCTCATGTTTCCTGAAGCATTACTAACAATACCTAACATCTACAACCAACCTACATGCCCATCAGTGGGAGACTGAATTAAAAAAGTGTGTATATACACCCAGTGGAATATTATCCAGACATCAAGAAGGGTAGAGTCCTGTTGTTTGTAGCAAAATGGAACTTGGGGACATTAAGTGAAATGAGCCAGATACAGATAAGTACCACATGTTCTCTGTCATCTGTGAAAGCTAAAATAACAAGAACTAAATGCAGAAAAGGGTGGTGGATAAAAGGAGACTGGATTTGATTACTGCATGCAGTATGCATGAGCTGAAACATCACACTAAGTTTTATAATATATAATTTATATGTTAAACATAAAATAAAATATGAAATCAATAAAGCTTAGCAAGTCCAGTATACTCAAAATCCTTACAAATGAACATATCAGGCTGGAAATGGTGGCACACAGCTATAAAACCAGCTATTGGGGAGGCTGAGGCAAGAGGACTGAAAATACAAGACCACTCCGGGCAACTTAGTGAGACCTTATCTCAGAATAAAATTTTAAAAAGGACTGAGGGTTCAGTGGTAGAATTCTTGCCTGGTGTAATATGCAAGGTACTGGGTTCAATCTCAGGAGTTCAAAGCAAACAAAGGGCTGGGGAGGTAGCTCAGTGTACAGTGCTCACCTAACCTGTGTGAGGGCTTGGTCTTGATAGCCACTACTAGAAAACAAAGTACACATATTGTTTCAATTTTATCACTTTATCCTTAAGTAGTTAAACATGCATGCAAAATCTGAGCTACTAGGCAGATCATACAAGTTGTGATCATCATACAGATATAGTAAAAACAACCAAAACGTCTAACATAAGAGCTTAATTAAATAAACACACCCAATATAATGATATACTCTTTGGATTTAAAATAATGTTATAGATAAATATTAATGTGACAAAATGTCTAAAATATATCAAGAGCAAACATAGCTACCAATCAATATAGCCTCCATAATTCTATTTTGATAAAATAAATAAATGTATGGACATATGTGTGTGCCTGTAAAAATCTCTTAAAGGGCTTCTGTTTCAAGATAGGCTGGCAGAGCATTGTGGTGATGTAATCCCAGGACTCAGGAGGCTGAGGCAGGAGGATCGTTATGAGTTTGAGGTGAGCCTGGGCTGTTACAAAGTGAGTTCAAGGCTAGTCTGAATTGCATAGTGAAAGTATCTCAAAAAGACAGAAAAGAATAAAAGATAGATTGGATTCATGCTTTTAATCTCTTCTTATTCTCTAAAAATGACTTAAAACACAGTCACAAAAGTACACAATTTATAAAAGTGCAAGAAGAAATTCCCCAGCTTTATTCTGGCTTTTGCTCTATCTCTGGAAGTGAGAAGAATTTCTGAAGAGATGGACAAGAGAATGAGAGAGGAGATTTTTGGTTTTTGCTTTATGCTTTTGGCACTGTAATAATGTCTTATCACTACCATGTGTTCCAAGATCCCTAGTGGGCCCTGGGAAACTCAGCTAGCACCAAACATTATACACACAGTACTGTGTTTTTTGTATAAATACATTTACAAATTTAATGTCTTTTAGACCTTAAATATTTATGACAGTTTAATTTATAAATTAGGCACAGTAAGAGATTAAGAGATTATTTTATAGAATAATGATAAAAATATACTATAATAAAAATTACTTAAAACTTCTGAGTTATTTATTTCTGGAATTCTCCATTTAATAATTTTGGACTTCTGTTGACTATGGGTAACTGAAACCTTAGAAAGTGGATCTCCAGATAAGAGGAGACTATTCTTTTGACTTTTTGCATTAATATTATGAATGTTT